CGACGGGGCCCCGCTGCTGCTCTACGCCGCCGCGCACACGCTGGTCCTGCACGACGTGCGCGCCCGGCAGCAGGCGCATCTGCAGGTGCGGAGTGGCGGGATGCGGCATGGCACCGGGATGCTGTGAGGAGCTGGGATGTGGCACAGCYGGAGTGCCACGCGGGCCCTCTGCTCCCCAGGGTCACAGCAACGTCATCTCGTGCCTGTGCGTGAGCGAGGACCGGCGCTGGGTGGCCACAGCCGACCGCGGGCCGGACGCGCTCGTCATCGTGTGGGACTCGTACTCGGGGTGAGCGCGGCGGCCGCTCCGCTTCCCGGGTTCCTTTCTCCGGAGGGCGCGTGGCGAGCGGGCTGCTGTCCCGCAGGATCCCCGTGCGCACCATCTTCGACAGCCACCCGGCCGGCGGCGTCGCGGCCATCGCCATCTCCCACGATGCCAAGTACCTGGTCACCATCGGCGCTGGTGCGGTGCAGGTGAGCGGAGAACTTCCCTTCCTGCTGCCCTGAGCGATCGATCGTGCCCAAAGCTTCRCTAGTGCAGCTGAGCGGGGTCAGACGGGAACAGCGGGGCGAGGTGGCACCAGGCACAAGGGCATCTGTGCTTGAGATGAAAACTTCTGGCCCCAATGTGTTTAACGCAAGCTCTTCCTAGCACCATTTATTGCAACCAAGCCCCTGCCCTCGGTGCCCACTGCTGCTGGGACGGGCGTCCTCCGGGGCCGCCTCGGCGTTCCCAAAGGCAGCTGGGCTCTCCCGTTCCCCGGCAGAGGGTCTGCGTGTGGAGGTGGACGTGCCCGGCGGAGTCGCCCGCGTGCAGCGCGGAGCTGCCGCCCGCCGCCGGGCGCCAGGTGAGCGGGGCCGCGCGGGCGCCCGCTGCTCCCCGCGGCCTCGCGCCAGCCCTGCCTCTTCCTTCCAGGATTTCGTYGCGTTCAACCCCCAGAACGCCGCCGAGTTTGTCAGCAACAGCAAAAGCCAGGTGATATTTTACCTGTGGGTAAGTAGGGGCGCGGGGCAGCGGGGTGCCGCGTCCCTGGTGCTGGCTCCACGACGAGCCCCGTCTCGGCGCTCGGCTCCCGCGGGGTGCCCGGGGACAGCGGGCACGGCGAGGAAGGGCCGTGGCCAGGCGGGCTGCTTCCCCCGCAGAGCGACGCCGCGTTGCAGTTCGGCGCGCCGCCTTTGACCGACAGGGTGAGTGGCGGCCGCGGGGGCCCGAGGGACCTGCCGGTGCCCCCTGCAAGAGCATCCGCTGCTGCGTCCCCTCCCGGGGCCCTTCCCCTCCCTTCCGCACGGTGACCGCAGCCAAAGGTGTCACCAAAGGTGACGCTGGGCACGGGAACAGCCCTGATCAGCGCCTCTCTGCTGGCTCCTCCGCAGACCTTCGGCAAAGCGGTGGGGCACTTCAGCCAGTCCGTTTTTCATTTCGACAACTCGCAAGCGCTGACGGGCACCTCGGCGGGGAAGCTGGTGCTGTGGGACGCGGTGCGGCCCCGTCCGCTGCCCCGGGAGCCGCCGCCCAAGCCGCACACCATGAAGGCCATCAAGCTGGTGCCCATGCAGAAGGACGGCATCACCGTGCTCACCGTGTCGGACGGGTGAGGTTTAAGTCCTCCCACGCTGTTTTTCACCCAGCAATGGGTGTTTTAGGGACCTCATGGCTCACGGGGACAGGCCAGCTGCCCTCCAGCGCTTCCCCATGCCGAAGCTTTCCCCCTTCCCTCCAGCTATTTTGTAACGTGCGACGTCAAAGGCACGGTCAAGTTCTACGACGGGCAGCTGCAGCTGGTGAACTGGTACAGCCACCCGCACGTGGGGCCCATCCGCTCCATCTCCTTCTCCAAATCGCCCCCCGGCGCCGCCGCAGACCCCGCCAGCTCCTGCACCCTGGGCGGGCAGCCCTTGGTCGTCAGGTGGGTGCCCCGTTCCCCGCTTCAGAGTCACCGAAGCCTCCAGCTGAGGGGCACCCCCCTGGGCTGGAGCAGGTTTTAATTCTGTCCCTGGTGGGACATCAGGGGATGTAGCCGCATCAGGCTTAGTTTGGGATGATGGGATGGAGCCCTGTCCAGAACGGCACCGGTGTTGGGATACCCCAAGCTGGGCTCGTTATCCCGGTGTGTACGGAGCTGCCCGGGCTTCCTCTGCAGCCTGGTGTGGCCTCAGGAAGCAGCTTCTCCCACCGTGTGTTTTGTGGCTCCCCATCAGCCGCAGCCTTCTCATGCCTCTTGCGTCACTGCTGGAGCTTCTGCTGCTTACAGCCCTCCTGGGAAGAAAAACAGGCAGAAAAGTAGTAGGGAAGCCAAGAGGTTGCTCTTCTCGGGCTCAGCATCCTCACTTGCATGGGCCGGGAATGCAGGAACCAGTCGCTAGCAGGGACACACACCGGTCACCAGGCTCGTGGGGACCACCCTTACAACAGCAGCTCTTTCAAATGCTCTCTCCACGAGCACCAGAAGTCCTGGCACTGCTCTGCAAGTCTGCAGCCCCCACGAGTGTTTCCTTGGTTGCTGGTGCCCCTCAGGCTGGGCTGAGGGAGCAGGGACCCAAACCCTGGGTGAGGATCCGGTCCATGAGGGTCTTTCGGGGCAAAGGAGGCCCCATCTCCCCATCAGCCCTGCCCGTGGCTCCGCACGTCAGCAGCTCCTGTGTTTAGGTCTGTGCTCTCCTATAGCTGTGCCCGGGGTCCACATCCTCAAGCCGGTGGCCGATCAAACACGCTTGTTGTGCAATGTGCAGAGTTTGGGTGCCCTGGTTCCGCGGGGCCGGTTCAGCTGCTCCGGCCGCGCCAGGGTCTCGGCTGCAGAGCTCACCCCGGCAGAGCTCACCCCGGCCGTCCTGCGCGGCCACCAGCATGTGGCCGCTGACAAAGGCAGCGTGTGGAGCGTGAAAGGRCTATTCAGAGCCGCCCTCAATTGCCCATTGAGCCATCTCGCACCCCGGGGACTCACAGATGGCAAATCCTACCCAGATGTCGCTTGTCTTCTGGCTTGCCTACCCGAGCAGAAAATGTAACCAGCTCCAGCGTCTTTAAGCGGAGATTTACCAGGTCGGGAATACAAAGTGCCACCTGCCTTGCTGCTCGGAAGTGTCTGCGTATTGTGTGTTGCAAACTGCAAAATACCAGCTGTGGTCCAGCTCAGCTGCCACCAGGAGAACAAGGTGCTGGACAGCGTGGAGGGAGACGAGCCAGCTAGTCTCACTGATCAAATTCTGTTCCTTTCACACCAAACAGGGACTTTATCCTTTCAACTGCTGACGCAACAGTGTTCCACGTTGCAACAGATGGGACGAAATACGAGAAACTCCTGGAGGAGCCCAAGAGGGCCGTGACGGCCGTCGCGTGTCACCCCGGGCAAGCGCTCGTGGCGCTGGGGAGCCACTGTGGGCTGCTGAGGCTGTGGGACCATGAGCGGCACACGGGCCTCGTTAGCAGGGTSTTCGTCGAGGGCAGCATCCAGAGCCTGTGCTACAGCCCCCAAGGTGCCCTGGGTGGGCGCTGGCCCCGTGCGCCCGGCGCGTTGCCCGCGGTGCCACCGCCTCCCGGTTGCTTCTCAGGCCACCTCCTGGCAGCCGGCTTTRCCGACGGGAGCCTCCGTGTCCTCGACGCTGTTTCCCTCCGTTCCGTCTGCGAGGAGTTCAGGTTCTCGCACGGCCCCGTGACTCACGTGAGCTTCTCGCACGATTGCGAGTACCTCGCGACYGCTGTGAGTCGGTTTCTCTCGTGCTGCCGGGCAGGGGACACGGAGGGGTGGCAGCTCRTGAGCGGCCGTGCCCTCGTCGCAGGACGGCAACCTGGCGGTGACGGTCTACAGAGCGGTGCCGCGCTCGGGGCAGCGGTGCTGGGAGCACCTGGCCGGGCTGCACGCGCACTCGCGGCGCATCCGCAGCCTCCTCTTCGGCGTGCAGCTGGACGGCGACGAGCCCCGGCTGCTGAGCCTCGCCGAGGACCGGCAGCTGGTGAGGGAAAAYGGCAGGGAAACCCGCTGGGAAAAGCACGGGCTTCCCAAGGGCTTCGAGGGAGACTCCACGTCTGGCTCTCCGGCTCCTTAACCCCCACCAGCTCCATCACATGGGCTCTATTCTCACCCGGGTCTCTGCTGTGCTGGGCTCAGAGGTGACCCTCAGTGCTCACCCTGGAGCCGGATCCTGGCCGCAGTCAGTGCCGTTTGCCGGTGGAGCCTGAAGGAGCCTCTGCATTCCCTTGCCTTCCCCGCAGGTTGAATACGACCTGGGCAGCAGCAGCAAGGGCCGCCTGGCCGTGCTGCGGCGGGACCGCGTGGAGCAGGCGGCCGTGCCGCTCTGCTTGGCCTGGTACCCGCAGCTCGGCACCGAGTCCTTCATCCTCACCGCCAACAGCTGCTACAAGATGAAGCTCTACAACACCACCACCAAGATGTGCAGGTAGCGGAGGGGCTCAGCCCTCRCAGGGCCAGATCCTCCCGTCTGGGAGCCCCATCCTGGGTTTGGATTTTCCTCTTCCTAACACCTGTCCTGCTCCTCTTTGGGAACATGTGTTTGCCCAACAGCGGTGCTGATGGGGCTCCATCCTTGCCTTCCTTGTGCTGCTCACGAATGTGTGGGATTAGCCAGCCCTTCCTGTGCTCGACAACAGCCCAGAGGGGAAAATCATGTGTTTGCCTTTTAGAAAGACCCTTTTGGGACCAACCTATGGCTCCCCTCTGGAGAAGATGCAAATCCTCCCCACAACAAACCTGGCGGACCCGCAGAAGCGCTACCTGGCTTACATTACGAAGGACAAGGTGCGCAGTCCCACGCGCTTGCATTGGAGGAGCGGGACATCAGCAGTGCTGGATGCTCCTGCTCCCGCACTGCGACCACTCCGCCCAGCAGCCACTGCCTGCGGGAAGGCTCCCGCATTCCCAGCCCTCGGGGCAGGCTCTGCGGGATGCTCCAGCCTCAGGGTTCACTCGCAGGTCGGTGTGCAGGTTTTGCCTGCGGACGGTAACCCCCACAAGTCCTCGGCTTTCATCTGCCACCCGGACGGCGTGGCCGACCTCGCCGGCTCCTGCGACGGGCGCTACGTCTTCACGGCCGGCGGCGACGACCGCACGGTCATGGTGTGGGAGGTCAACCTGCCGTGAGTGCCGCGGCGCGGAGCCAGCCCCGTCCAGCCTGGGCAATGGCCAATGTCCTGCATCCCACAAGGCCAGCGGGATGGGGCAGCTCGGGATATCGGATCATGGAAGAGCAGCATCGGCTGCGGGATGAGGCCACATGGAAGCGGCTGCTGCAGAAATGTCTGTCCCCCATGGGATAGGGCGGCACGTGCTGGAAGCCCTGGGTGTGAGGGATGTAGACAAGTCACTGTAATGCTCCAAGCTTTGCTGGAACAGGGAAAGGAACATACGGAAACAGGCAGCCGCAGCTCCAGCAGCTGCCCAGGCCCTGGCTGGAGCATCAGTGACCAGCTCCGTAGCCAGGTCCCTTCTGCCCCTTCTGGGATGTCCATGGATGCAGAGGCCAGCCTCGTCTCCCCGTATAAGGTCACCGTGTCTCAGATGACCCGGAGCTCTGTGGCCGGCCTGGGCACTCAGAGCAGAGCTGAAGGGCTGCTGGGCCAACGCACCTTCGTGCACCAGCCCGGAGGAAACGGGGTGGGAGAGCAATGGGATTGTTTGTTTTCTTCCCCACTTGGTGTGGCTTAAGCAGCTGAGRGTCAGAATAAGTGACATTTTAAGGAAAGCAACAACATGTAAATGATCCCTCTCTATAATGCTTGGCCAGAATCCAGGCAACATTGAATTCCTATGTAATTTGTTTTTGGAGTGAGGCTCTCRATGAGCTAATTATCATTTTATGGCTGCTTCTGGCATCTTGCTCATCACCACTGTGTTTAATGCCCAAATAAATTAAGAAAAAAAAAMCGAAGAGGGCGAAGCTTGTGGAAGCGGCACTCCCGAGCTGCACACCAAGGTGCTGGTGGCCACGGGGCCATGGGCAGTGGCTGCAGTCCCTTTTTCTGTGCACAAACCCGCTGGCTCTTTGGGCCCCAGCTGCGTGGGAGATGGGACTAAGAGCAGCGAGGTGTCGCASGGGGTTCTCCAGCTTAGCGTGGCACCTGCGGCAGCCGTTTTCCATAGGGGAGGATTCAGAGGAAGGGATTGCCCTGAGTTATCAGGGAGGAGGGTGCTGGGTGGAGGACAAGGGAGCTCCGCTGGGTGCAGCTGGCTGCAAACACCAGCGCTCCGCAGGATCCCACTGTCCACGGAGCCGATTCGGCTCCCTCGCTSTCTCCGTAAGGCAGCAGGAGAGCTCAGTGCCAGACGCCAAGCTCAAGGCCATGGAAACGCTCCCGGCCGCCGGCCCCGTGCTCATTCCGCGGACAAGGGCCCCATTGAGGAGCAGATCCCACACTGCTCTATTGTATGGAAAACCTGCGTCGGAAACACCGGCCTGGAGCGGAGCTGCACAAAACACGTCCTGCCGGGATTTTATATAGTCATTGGAAAAGCCTCCAAACGGGGACTCGAAGGGGAAAGGTGGGATCTCCCTTGGCCTGACCCGTCCCGTCTCTCCCTTCCCGTGCGCTGCAGGGCTCTGGWTGCCGCCGTTCCCCTGGGCGGGCAGGACCTGGAGCCCTTCTACAACCTGCTGGATGGCGGCAGAGACGGCGACTTCTTCAGGGTAATCACGCTCACCAGCAACACCTGGTTGGAGTTTTAGATTCATTTACACAGGCCTGACATTCCTTTATTTTGGTCCAGGTCGCCCTTAACAATATTCTCCTGGGCAGGTCTGTTAATAACTCTTTAAAGAAGCCTTTCCCGCTGCCCCGTTGGTGGCTGAGCTTGGCCGTGTCCCGTGTGAATCCCTTGCAGGAGCTGGAGGACTATTTTTACTACGCGCAGCTGCACAGCCACGGGATCGATACGATGGAGACCAGGCAGGTGTCCACGCACATCCCCCTGGAGGAAATTCCTTCTGTAATGAGAGCAATGGGATTTTATCCCTCGGAGGAGAAGGTCAGTCGGTTGYTTTTTTACTGTTGTTATGAAAAGAAAGGGTGAGAATGCTGGTACCAAGTGTCCTGTGGGACAGATCCTGACCACTGTCATGCCAGATGGGTCCAGAGGATATTTGTGCTGGTTTTAAATGTATTTTACCTGGWCTGAGTGAATTAGGAGTGATCAGAGTGTGGTAGTGTGTTTCTGATGAAGTCACGATCCCTCGCTGGAGACCTGGATAGGTGTCGGGATGAACCTGGGGATTGAGAGCTGGATGTTTCCGTGACTTCCAATAAGGTCCCAGCGTCTTTCCCAGCACCATGTGCTTGGTGGGCCGTGGGCTGAGACCTCAGGTGCAGGAAATCTGCCTGGGCCTGGATGGAGACGTAGCCAAAGCTTCCTACACGTGTTGAGCAATACAGGACACAAAGGTGGTGGGAATGTCTAGCTCCGTGCAGTGCTTTTTTGGGTGTATCAGGGCCTCATTCTCTTGATCTGTCTTGTACTGATGAAAGAGTGACTTGAAATGGAGACGGCAGCTTCTATTCCCATGGAATTAAAGCTCTTTCATAACCGATAATTCCGCAGCGGCTCTCGTTGAGCTTTCAGGTTGCAGGAGCTTCCTATCAAACATTTCTCAAGAGCTTTTTTACTTCAAATTTTGCAGCAAAGACACCTGATCTAATAAGGGTGCTGCTTCGCCCTTTGTGTCACCRTATCCCCAAGGCAGTTTGCGCTTGCACACGCCTCCTGTGCAGTGTTGCAACCTGGCAGAAGGATAATTAAAGCATATATATAGAGAGAGAGAAAAAAAAATACCAAATCTGATGCCAGGTGATTTAAATAACAACCTCCCTGCACCAGCCCCCGGCCTTCAGCACARGAGCGGTTCTCCCAAGGGAAGCGGCGCACGGTGCTGTTCCCTTCACCTTTCCATGGGGAAAGCTCCGCTCGTCCCTGCTGGTGGCTGCGGAGCCTCGGGGGCCCCTGAGTCGCTGCTTGGATCGGTGCCACCCCATCTGCCCGGCCAGACGAGGCAGCAGATGGGAGGCAGGACCTGCTCCACCTACCAGAGCTTCTTTGCTGCTCCTGCACCCAGGCAGCATCCGCTGCGACCGCTTTGCCTTGTCCTATCGCCCTGCACTTTATTAGACCTTCTCATTACAGTTCTGCCTCTTGGCGACAGAGGGGACGCAGTCCTGGGGGATGTTGTTGCAGGGAAGTGTCTCTGGAAGAGTAATTTAACCAAAAAAAAAAAAAAAAGGAAAAAAAATTAAAATCAAGTATTTTATGCAAGGGAACAGAGGTGCTAGGCTGCTGTGAACGTAGGCACCCTCCAGCCTGCTTTGCAGAGCAGGACAGYGTTCAAGCACACAAAGTTCATCTGTCTCTTCAGAGTGTTTTAATAAAAGAAAATCAGGAGGGAGAACGAGCAGCTTGAGCTGCCTGACCAAGCTGTGGGGAATTCCTGTTTTTCTTATGTAGTTCAGCAGGGCTGATAGAAAACCTAATCCCAGATCAGCTAGAGCTGAGCAAAATTGACTGTTCCTGCTTGGCGTGACATTTGCTACAGGAAAAAAAAAATCTAAGGGTAAGATTTCCATCTTCCCTGGGCTCCATTCACTGGAAAAACTTGTGACAGGAGCACAAAGGCCGCGGGCTGGATGCGGAGCCGTCCCCGGGGAGCGCTCGCGTCAGCTCCGCTCGGCGGGCGCCAGCGGCATGCGCGGCACGCGCCGGCACCGGCAGCGATCCYGGCCTTCGCTGCCCCGCGTCCGCCAGCGCCGGGAGCGGGAGCTGCCCCCGGGCACCCCCGGCTGTGGGCAGAGCCCGGCCAGGGCTCGTTTGCTCCGTGAAAGCGGGAGCGGGAGCAGAACGGGAGCAGAACGGGAGCCTGCGGTGGGGCTACCCCTTGTGCAGGGCCACGCAGGGTGCAGGTAGAGAGCATCTTCGTGGACCCTGGGTGTATTTAGATTGTGCAGATGGTCTGTTGGGAGCCGTGCAGGCGGTYGGGGCACATCTGGGGTATTTATTGCCCTGCACCCTGCCTGCCTGCTGCCCCGAGTGTGGGCACAGCTGCACCGAAGGGAAGAGCAAAGTCYCTTTGCTCTGGGAAGAGCAAAGCGGGTGCAAAGGCACCGAGCGCCTTCGCCGCCCGGGCTGCCTTCCCCATCTCACAGCAGCAACAGATCCCAGGGCGGCCAAGACATGGAGCTGAGAGGGAGGCGGAATGCTGCAGGAAAGGCACCGTGGGCATTAAACACAGCTTTTCTCAGAAACTGCAAGCTCAGCGGTGCTCACCTAAACCTAGAGAAACTCCGCTGGCTCTGCTGAGAGCTGTTTCACAAGCAAACGCAGGAAATCCAGCATGACTAAGTAGCTGCTGCCCTCACCTTTACCTGACACTGTCACACTGTCGTAAGGACAGGGGCACTTAAGAGGCCGCCGTGAGTGCCGGCTCACTGCCGGGTTGCAGCAGTGACATCCGTGGTGCCAACACCCGGAGCTGCCGTGGCTTCCCGAGACCGGGAACTGGTTCACRTTCCTCAGCGGGGAGATTTGTAATGGTTTTTCTTGCCTTCATCTCTAGATTGAAGAAATGATAAATGAAGTCAAGTTCAGCGAGTACGTGGATACTGGCAAGCAAGTGACAAAAATCAATTTAGGGGATTTTATCAAACTTTATATAAACCATCGCCCTGCATTCGGCTTGTCAATGAAAAAAATACGGAGAGCGTTTCAGGTCCTTGGTTATGATAATGAGAATGGGGAAAAAGTTATCGACAGAGGAGACTTGCTCCTGCTGCTTCAGCGCAGAGGTGAGTTATTTCTATTCTAATATCAGCTGTGTGCTCACTAGTTCTTTCTTCAATTGCAGCATGTATTTGGGAACTACAGCTTGGTAACCAGGGCAGGYGCATGGAGCCACAAGCCTTGGAATTTTCAATGGAATAATCCCATCTACCAGCTCAGTCCTCCTTTCTTTACTGCTTTGGAAATATCTTGTCTGTTGAATGAAGAGCGTGGGTCTTGGCAATGACACCCTTCTCCCAGCACGCTCTTATCTGAACTTATTTTTGGTCACACGGTGCCCAGAAAGGGAATAAAAGTCAAAGAAAGGAGGGATGAAAACGGCCAGAGTCCTGGACTGAGTTTGTATGTGAAAGCCTGGAAAGATAGGCATGGTTTAGGTTAGCTTAATCAGAGGGAACATTGTAAAGGCCTGTGTAAATAGGCTGATGACCAGTGCTAAAGAGAGGTAAATAAAGCACTCGTATTATCTTGCTCCTTTTGTAAGAACAAGGAGCATTTATTGCTGCCGAGCAYTAAAACAGGAAAGGGGGAAAGCGGTTTCATTCAGTTCACCAGCCGGTAAAAGCCCTTGCTGCAAAGACGCTTGGAAACCAAGGATTCAGCCAGGAGAAAGGGTAGTTGTTCCTGTGCACGGTGTGAACACCCACAACTAGATGCATCAGAGAGGACAGAACAGTTTCATAACAGATCTATAACCTCGGGCGTCAGGGCACGAGCCACCCGTTACTGGGAACAGCTGCCACGGCCAGGTTACTCCAGGATACTCAAGGACTTTTCTGCACCTTCCTCTTCCTCCCTGGAGCTGGCTACCGACKCTGGGCTGCCGGGTCCGTGGTGTGTCCCGTGTTGGGAGCGCTCCGGTGGGAACGGCAGCACCGGCCCTGGCACGTGCAGCCCAGCCTAAAAAGCCCCCTGCAACAGCGTCTCTTCCTTTGATTAAGTAGTTTGCCCCAAATGCATGCAGTGGATGTGAACCGTTTCCCTAGGATCAACACTTCCCTGCGTTGGGGTCGTGCATCTCACCTGGTCTGCACCTCCGGGAAGCCGAATCCTTTTTAAAACCAACCCGTTCTGCTCGTGCGCTGCTCTTGTCCGCAGTGTGTGYGCCTTCGTGTTGATGATTCCATAAACCCAACGGGTTTTTCCTTGCTGTGCAGGAGAGCACATGACGGAGGAAGAGCTGGCAGCCTGTCTGACCGCCTTGCTGGGCACGCATCCAGAGGGAGGAACATCCGAACCGGGCGCCTGCGGTACCTCAGGTACACGGGATTATCATTCTGCGCAACGTGGAAGCAGAATTGCTTCAATTCCCAAACAAGAGCAATTTCAATTGCAAACCTATTACCTTGCTAGGCCTAGAGCTGTCAAAAACATTCAGGCGGGACTGCAAAAAATCATCATGGAGCCATAGATTGTCCTTGATCCATGCAACAATTGCATGGGTGCATCTAAAAATAAGTGAGCAATGAAATGTAACCGACCTGACAAGATTACATTGCTGTCTATCTGCAGGCTTGGGACTGAAATTAGAAACACACGGCGGAGGGTTTACACGCCAAAGTGCACAGGCAAAAAGAAATCCTCGAATATGCAAATTATAGTGTTGATTTTATCCAGGCAGTAATGTCCATTATAATGGAGCTGTTGATAATACCACATTTGTATACAATTTATGCCCCAGTCTACACCAGTCTAGCACAGCAAATTATAGYGTTGGTTTGATCCAAGTAGCGTTGCCTGTTTCCACTGGAAGAGCTGCTAAACACAGTGTTTTTACACCGTGCACGTCCCAGTGCTCACCAGTGCTCACCAGTTTAAAGCAGCACCGGGTCAGGGCTGATTGCAGTGGACCTGTGCACAGGAAAGGGGCATCTCCAGAGGGAGCTGCCCAGCCCTGCAAACCCACTCTGAAGTCCCCAGATTCCCAGGTGCAAAAGTCCAGTTTGTTTTGTGACTTTCCTGAGGCTGATATTTATTGCAAGGTGAGGCTGTCGACCTCATGGATTTGACAGTTTGTCCCTGTTAAGGATGCACAAAGTATTAAATGAGCTAATCCCTTTTCACGATCACTATGCACATCTTTAAGACATTCCCTCTACTTAGCTGTCACCCATACACCTCTCTCTACATAAACCTGTTCTTATGTTGCTGTTGTATGTTTTGTTGTGTCGTTTTTACTGCTCTCCAGGTGCAGCAGCTTCACTGGAAGAAGAAATTCCAGATGAAATCACAGCAGAGATCTTCACTGCTGACATTCTTGGCTTACCTATTCCTGAACCAAAGAAGAAAACAGAAGAAAGACCTGAACCTTTGATCCCTGAAGGCTCAGAATCGTAGCTGCTACAAAGTTTTCTACTCATTCCTACTTTGCCATCTCCTCTCAATTATCTGTGGGTTCTGTTTGTTCGATTGCTTTTATTAAAATATAAGGGCTGAGTAGTTTTAGACTGGTCACACACTTTTCTAACTCCTGTTTTAGCACAGGCCACAATGCGTTTGGATGAAATCTATTTCCCAAATCAAACATGGTGCTCCTATCTCACCCTCTGTAGCCCTGCTGTGGAAAACTGGGATTTTGGAGATAGTCAGTGGAAGTATTTCCACTGTTCCAGCACRGCTAACGCCTCTAATACCTTCTTACCTAAGGGTAGTTAATAAAAAGCAGTTTAGATGAACTGCTTTTTAGGATTTTTTCAGGATGCTGTCCTGAAATGATGTTCTGGGAGAAGAGTATAATGTAAACACATCTGTTTCAMGGGCCACGGAGCCATCAGCACGTCCAGAAGCGGAGGGGCAGCTGCACAGAGCGAAGGGGCAGCCGCTGCGCTACCTTCCTGCACGCATCACTCCTGCTCTTTGCTAGCGCCTTCCTCGAGCTCCTCCCGGGGTGTGTTTCAGATGAAGCTCCTCTGATGCAGCCTGTTTTCATTATGCTAAGGCAGTATTTATTTGTAAAACCTGACAGGAAAATAGCAAGGGAAAAGTATCGATTCTACCCATAGACAAATGTAATATACGGAACGACTGCCTGCATCGGCCCGGATTTGTAATTACACAAATAAATCCACCAGCCCTCAGTACGGCAGCGAACGCTGCATTCCAAATTAAAACCAGGCTTCCATTTTGGTCTTTACAACTTGTGTTTTTCTTTCTGAAAGTAGTAGCTCCAATTAGGAGCGTAATACCAATGGGACAGCATTTTACAGTGTTTGTATAAACAGCATAATGAAGCGGGGATGAGTTGCTGCGGAAAGCTCAGTGAAGAGCTGTTGAACGCGCTTCCTTCTTTACATCATCCTCAGCATCAATTTGAATAATAATGTAGGCCCTTAAGAAGCGTTSCCTTTCGGTGGCAATGTTATTAAACAGAGGTGGCTGCTGCACACCGTGCAAGTGTCGGTGGCGGCTCAATTAGCGCAAACAGCTAATTGATCTGGGGCCAGGTGCAGGTTAGCAAGGAGGGCCGGGGCAGGGGCACCGCAGCGACGTGTTGGCCACTTGATGCTGGATGAGAAYGGGACTTTTTGTGCCGTTTTTGCTCACTTTTTGCTCACTTACACGTGCAAAAGCTCCTACGTTATCCATGCTGGAATTGATCYGCATCTAATTGGAATCACGCTGATCCCGTGGAAGTTATTGGAAGCATTTTAGGCAGATGAGACGCCTCATAGACACGCTAAAAAATAAACCAGRGGACGCTGCGGATTTATTAAAAACGCAGTTTCACAAAGCAGGGGTGCCGTTCGAATGGGGTGCCGGACGRCGTCAGCACCGCTGGATGCGGCTGCCGCCCGGGCACCGCAGACGGGGGCTGGGGACCCCCGGGTGGGGCTCTGCCCCACGCGGCCCCCCTGGGTCCCATCACGGGCGGGATGGGGCGATGCGCCCCCCCCCCTCGGCCGGGGCGCCTGAGGCGACGCCCCCCCCCCCCACTTCGGGC